ATAGATGCTCAACCATCTTTCTTGCCAGCCTGAACTTTCCCTTGGAAGAGTAATCACAACATCGATGAGTCAATCCTTTTACCCGCCAGCGATCAAGATCAGAAAGTTGAGCGCAAATTCAGCTTGTTTCATCATGTCACCAAGGTTTATTTTCAGGAATGTATCTTGATCCCCGATCCTTAGCAATATTCACAAAGCTTGAAGGAACAACTCAAGCCCTTTATCTTTTCTTGCTCGAACGACATCATTGAATTTTTGCTTGGTCTACCCGTCGCTGAATCCGCGGCCTTATTTTAAATCCAGCTGTGTTTAGAATACATTCCACGCCAAGCCCATTATTAAGCAACTTTCTCTTTTATGACGTCTCGCCTACCGGTTTTATCTTTTTCCTTTATTCCTTCATTACTTCCATGAATCGCCACTTCTCCAAACTTCTTGGGAGCATTAGAATGTCAAGCTGCAAGTCTGGAACTGATTGGTACCCACTTTTTTTTTTTTTTATCGGCAATTGGGTTTTCGACGATCGAGCACTAATTGGAACTCATTTTTTGCATGATCGTTTTGGCAACTACTTATAAACTCGATCATCTTTTATTTTGGACATTTAGCGATCAAGTCGAACTTCGTTTTTCTTATGGCGAGTCTTGATTTACTCAAATCCCCTCATTGTCGCCCACTTCCTTTCGCCGCAACCCGTTTGGTGACCAAGTTGAATTTTTTCCACCCATAACAACTTGTAACTTGTCTAGATCCACTCGTCGCTGCCAAGACGCCCATTTGGCGACCAAATTGAACTATTTTTCGCTCATGGTGGCTAATGACATGTTCTTATCCTCTCGCCGCCACCCATTTTCTTTCGCCACAACTTGTTTTCTCACCTCCTCGGGCCAAATATTTTGATTGATTATATGATTTTTCCAACATGCATCTATTTTGAATTTTTTTCGCCAACCTCTTTCTTTGGCGATGTCTCTTTTGCGTCCGTGTCAAGTGTTTCGGCCCTTGAACCATCGGCACTTTATGGTTACAAACCATTCATCCAACGGTGGTATAATTGGTGATTTCCTCATTGAATGATGACGAATATTCACCTGATCAATAGTGGTGACATCATAGGCATTACCATTTTTTTAGCGCCAACTTCCATAACCATTACCGATGGGCGCAAATGATCTTTTAGCGTTGGCCTATCCGCCAATGATATGAAATTCATATCCGCTGCAAAAGAGTCACTATCTAACTTCTTGTCTTGCTTTTTCGGCTCAACAAAATCCTCATTGTCAAAGATGATTAAAGGTTGATCGGCCAGCCAAAATTGATAGGCAGACTTTCTTTCATTTATCATTTGCTCAGCCCAAATGGAGCAAGATATAAGTTGTTGAAAATCGCCGAACTCCTGCAAAACGAGCTTTTCATTAAGTTGTGGATGCATGTTTCTCACCACTATATGCATCGCTTGAGTATCCGGAATTTGTATATTGTAGCGATTTTTCAAACGTCAAAAGCGCTCAATATACTCATCTACCAGTTAATCAATTTGCTGTTTTGCATTCATCAAATCAATCAATGTAACTTCAATCGGCGGACTATAAAATCGATCATGAAATGTCTTCCCCATCTCTTGCCACAATCGTATGGAGTTTGGCGGTAGCGCCAAATATCAATTGAATGCAACACCGTTTAGCGAGATAAAATATTAGAAGTTTATGCCAATCGCTAGCTTCGCTACATTGTGTCATAAAACGACTCACATGCTCCATGCTCGAACGTCCATCTTCTCCCGAACAAAAGAGTAAAGATAGGCGTTTCGGTGTTGTGTGGCAATGACATCATTTTTCCTACCCAATCGGGGTAAGGCCGATGATATGATGGTCGATCAATTGGCCGTAGGTGCTGCCCAAATACTTCACGAATAGCCTCCGTCAATATTTGAGGATTGATGGTGGTTGGAGAGACCGGAGGGGCTGGTGGACCGACTTGTTGCCCCTAAAATGTTGTACCAGCAGCGTTAAAATCTTCTGCTGGAAAAGAAGTTGGCGGCAGCAGCTTATGACATAGTTGCTGAAAATAATTGATCATTTGTGCATCAAATTGTTGCTGCCCCCTCCCCCCTCCCCAATGGACCGATGCTCCAAACTCAGCGGTTGAAATAAGGGCATTATACCAGCAGTGTTATGATTGCCGGCCGACGGAAGAATTGACAATTGCTGCCCCATGAAATTCCTGCCGTAAATAATGATTGCCAGAACCATTGAATGATTGTTGCTCCCCAAACGATTGTTGTTTTTGTGCTACTCCTTAGAACAAACTAATTGCATTTGGGCTTCCATAAGTAGTTCTATATATCGCCTGGCTTATGAGTGTCCACCAACGGCGTTAACATCACCTGTTAGCAAAACAATCGACGGTGGAGATTGGAAAAAATTACCCCCAACCCCCGGAGCGCCATATTGTCGTAGTCCCCCAATGGATTGATGCGGTGGCGCAGCCTCTTGAGAGAAAAAAAAAAAATTTCTAGCCTCAACTCCATAATCGATCATCGGAATGTTGTATATCGGTAGGGGCGGTTGAAAAAAGTCGTCTTCCGGTGCACCAAATTGATGCTGCCCCCCAAATCCACCGGGGTTACCGCTACAATTTAGAATAGCCGTTGTACTTGTCAAATGGTCTATCTGGAGCCCTTGAACCTGTCCAAATTGTATTAGGGGCATTTCTAAATATATAGATGAAGGAAAAGTCGAAAAAATTACTTGATTGAGTGTTGTAGTAGGCTAAAAAACGGGATTCTCACTTTGGATCGGAGCCGACATCATTTGGGATTGGACAATTGGAGAGAAATAACACCCGGAAATCGCTGAACATTGTTGGTTCTCGTTTTGTTAATTGGCGGCCATTTCATTGCTTGTGGCCGGCTGAAAAATGTCGGCCACGTGGCCCGACATATCAAACGCAAAGTCTCGAAGGCTTGCCTGCATTGCTGATGATATTTCCTCACGAATGAAGGTAGTCGCCATCCGCTCGGACGAACCGCTGCCCTCTACGCACAAACCGTTACCTTCTCAACATAAATTCTTTTGAATGGACAGCTCATGGAAGACATCCGGACAACTGGTCGTCGTTCTTTCCTTAATTCGCCATATGAATAATTTTTTTCCGATAAATCAATCCTTGAGCTCCATGAATAATCGATTGGGGTAGACTATGATTTATTTTGCACTTGTATACATTAGTTATTAATCTAAATCGATTTGATCCAATCGTCTATGATATTCTTCAATATTGACGATCCACTATTATCGATATAATTTTCAGAGCAAAAATCATTTTCGGTCTCATTCAATATCATGATTATCAATTTTGGTCTCATTCAAAAAAATTTATCAATTTTGGTCCTACTCAAATGAAAATTTATTAATTTTAGTCCCAAGATGGTTGAATGTGACTGAACACGGCCGTGTTGGATGACTCAGAAGGTGACTGGACGTCCCAGGCATCCAACACGGCCGTGTTGATTACCCTGCACTTCTGAACACGGCCGTGTTCCTGCCCTTATTCTGAACACAGGCATGTTCCTACCCATGTTATCAACGAAGCCATGTTCTCAACGAAGCCATGTTCTAGCCCATGTTCCTACTCATGTTCTCAACAGAGCCATTTTCTAGGCTATGTTTTTAATATAATCATTTTTTAGGTCATATTTATTATTATTGTCACTTTTTGATTAAAATTATTTAATATATATTTATAATTCAACAAAAATATTTTTTACAATTATTTTATAATATAAAAAATAATCACTTTTTAATATTTTAAAAATATATAAAAAAAAATAATATAATAATATATATTTTTAATAATACTCCATCAGTCTCACTTACCATGTCAATTGCCGTTTCTGTCCGTCCAACATCCCATGTCGCTTTTATTTTTTGGAAAATAATTACACTATTTTTAAATTTAATTTTTTAATTTTAATTAAAATAATGAGTTATCTTAATCTTAATTTATAATTATTTATATTATATGATAATTATTTTTACTAATACATTCTTAATTATCTACTAATTATACTTATCCTAAATTCTCGTGGAAAAGAAGAGTATTATTTTAAAATATTATTTTGAATAATAAATTTAATTTATAATTTATAGAAATAATTAATTTAAAATAATACTTTAAAATTTTTACTATAAATTTTTAAAAATATATATATTAATATATTATTTTTTAATATATTTTTAAATATTAAAAATTGATTATTTTTTATATTATGAAATAATTGTAAAAAATATTTTTGTTAAATTATAAATATATATATCAAATAATTTTAACCAATAATTAAATAATAATAAATATGACCTACAATATGATTATATTGAAAACAGTGAACATAGCTGAGAACGTTGATAACATGGACAGTAACATGGCTGTGTTCAGAACACGGGCAAGAACACGACCGTGTTCAAAAGTGCAAGGTAATCAACACGGCCATATTAGCTGTCTGGGACGTCCAGTCACCTTCTGAGTGATCCAATACGGCCGTGTTCAGTCCAGTCAACCATCTTGAACTAAAATTTATAAATTTTCATTTGAGTAGAATCAAAATTTGATAATTATTTTTTTAATGGGACCAAAATTGATAATTATGATATTGAACGAGACCAAAAATGAAAATTTCCTCTCGTTGTCACGCGGCAACATGCTCGATTGAGCTCCTTAAGCAAATCTTATTTTATTAAAACCTACATTCAGTTAATTAATTAATTAAAATATTGTTATTCATTCTATTACTACATTTTGTATATAAATTAGAATAGAGTATAATATTATAAATAAATATATAATTTATATATATATATATATAAAGTTTAAATTTTAACATATACTATTATTAGATTAAAAATTTAACAAATACTATCAAATTAAAGCTTAAGTTCGTTCATGCATATTTTTTGGTTCATTTAGCTTAGCTAACAAACTTTTAATAAATTCAAACAAACTTTTAATAAATTCAAACAAGCCAAATTGAGTCAAGTTTGCGTGCTATGCTGTCTAGATATGTATACAAGAATATGCCAATACCAGGCAAGAGCCACTTATGCTGTCTATGTACAAGAATGCATATAACCAGAGAAGATCAAATAGAGAGTAATCTTAACACTAACCAAACCCCTGAACCTACTGCACTTAAATTTGGTGCCATACTTCATTTTCAGAATAAGTAGGCACCCAGTCTGTATCCAAGTTCTTAGCGCAATTATGTATAAATGAAGCATACCTTGAGCTGAATTCAAGAAATGCAGTTGATAATAGGCTACAGCGGAACAAGGCAGCAGCAGCAGCATTGCACGATTTGTCACCCATTGGATATCTCTCAACATTAGAGGATTAGTTTCTAAGTCTGGGGAATTCGCTTTAGTAGCTTGATAAGTTCATAGGTTCTTATGTCCCGACCAGCATATAGGCAAAGATCTAGTGCTGTCAATCCATCCTGGGGAGAATAAGGGTCAGAAAAATTCAGAAATTCTTAATTGGGGAGGGATTTACCTAGAATGTCTAAGCAATAACAAGCAATGATCATATGCAAGTTTTGATCAACCAGCAAAAATTTATTAGTGAAGAAGAAACCAAATTTTGCATATGATTCGGCATCTTGTTTGAACTAAGATGTAAATGTTACACCCACATCATTTAGTTTGTAAAATTTCAAACTACAATATTGTTGAACAAGAGAACAACTAATCTGTTAAGTACAAATGCACATTCCATGACAACAGCTACAAGACTCTTTGAGTAACAGTTTAAAAAAAGTCCCAAAGCACCGTTCGGCATCTGTGAAATTATAATTATTGATAACACTGAAGCAAGGACATAGAAAATGAAATAAACATAAAATGGTTTGGACATTCAGATAAATCATGGTTATGCTCTCTTTATTTTACATTACTAAATGCTTATAGAAAAATAAATATGAGAAGAATTATTCACAATAACAAATTAAAAAAATAACACGTAAGTTTCTAATCTAACAGAGAATCAACTCCAAATTTTCAGGATGCCACCCAGATTTCATAAAATGTAGAAATCTAAAGTTGGACCATTTTGACTTGGAAATCCAAACCAAAACCCAGACAAATTCCATAGTTGCCACAAAGTCAATAAAAATGTAATAATACAAAGTCAAGCTTTCTCTGTGAAGAAAAAATTAACAGGAATGTATGGAAGTACTTTGAAGTCATCTTAGAGTAACAATAAGATCAATAAAAGCCAATGGTTTGATGCTATAGTTGCATATATGATAAATTCAATTCACATATAATAGTTTTATCTATACAACATAGGGCAAAGTAAAATAGAATGAAAGTTGAATCTCCAGTAAAGTAGAGGCGAAGCAGAAAGATAAAAAATCGTGCAATATTAAAATTTATAAATCTTAGAATTTACATAGGGAATCAAGAAACAAGAAATAAGGGCAGGACAAAACGACTATTTATTCAAAAGTACATGAAAGATATATATATATATATATATATACATATATTCAATTACTTATTAGACAAAACATTATTGTATAAAAAAATACAGTAATGAATTAACTCTTAATTTTTAAAAATAGCAATCAACACATTATTTATGTGCATGCTTTGCTATTGTTAAAGCACCACGTGAAACAATCAATCTTTATAGATGAAATGGGAACTAAAATAATGAATGCCAGCTAAGACCTTGGAGATTTAAACAACTAAGTTCACGAAGCATTAAGACAAATATATATAGGCTTGCAAGCATATTTGCGACAATTTACCCGGTTCTTTAGATTCTTGTCAGCTCCCTTGATCAACAAAAGCCTCACTATATCTGTTCTACGGGATTGCACAGCCAAATGCAATGGAGTCCACCCATCCTATGGGTGATATGAAAAAGAGCCAAATCAATGTTAGATCTAAGAAAAGTATGAAGATTATAGTCCAGATTTAAAGCTTACCTTATCTTGGAGATTTATGTCTACATTATACAGTAACAGAATTTTTATCATCTGACTTGAAGCAGTTAACACAGCATAGTGCATTAAGGTAGCTCCACCCTGATATAGAAGAATACAAACATAAACATAATGAGATATAGCAAGCCAATTACAATATAGGAAAAATACATGTGCTTTAACAAAATGGAGAGTCACGATGGTCATTGTAGTTATAAAGGTGCCACATTGATCACACTATATCACTTACATCCAACCAATATTCATAAATTTTAAAAATGACCGATAGTAAAAAATGTAATATATTAGAATTTTCAAATTAAATTTATTAAATGTCTGTATTTTTACATATAGTTAGTTAATGATATAAAAAAGATTTTGCCATATTTTTATTTTGCAAAAAAAATAAAAATAAAAATAAAAATGGGCTTGTTTGCTTGTGATTTTTACTCACTTATATTTAACCTACCACTTTCCCTTCAAAAACATCCTATCTAACACCAAATTTTGATTCAAAATATTACATTCAACATTATTTCACCTCAAAAATATCAAAAGGCTCTGTTTACTTGAAGTTTTTGGTTTCAAATTTATCTCAGAATTGATTTACAAAAATATTGGCCGAGTTTTTCAATCTCACCAGTTCTTCAGAGTTGACTTATACTGGCAGAGTTAGATCGTTAGATAAACAAAACAGTTAAAACTTTTATTAGTCTCAGGATCATATTGGCCACTGCCTTTTCAACTACAATTAACCAAGACTATTTGGAATCAGATGATATGACAAACCATGAGGGGCACCACCCATAAAGAGCTATTCAATAGAGCAAATAATAGAAGTAGTTCCAGAGTCCATAGGAAGAAAATGGTAAAAGAATTATGAATTTTCATGGTTGATAATTTTCATGATTAAGTTTCATTTTCTTACTTACAAGTATGTTATGACATATAGAACTGTAACAAGATACATTGCAATAAAATAACATAATGGACAAGATCTGCAGTCAAATTCACGCATGCAAGAAGCATCAAGAGATTTGGGATTAACATACCGTATCACGTGTAAAAGGATTTGCAGACTCTCTCAAAAGAAAGTTAAATACAGCCTGCTTTTTGGCAAGTATTGCTTTGTGGATTGCTGCCAATCCATCCTGTAGGAAAATCACAAATTTCCAAAACAGAATCAGTTACAAAAATTAAATAACTTCTTCAGGAAATGGCCGAAATGCATTGATTCAGGTGAAGAAGTATATTTTCAACATACTTGTATAGCAAAAAATGGAATTCACAAGTAACAAATAAATAGGAGAATACTATTATCATTTACCTTATCAGGGGCATTGATATCAATACACTGCTTTAATAAAGAATTCACTAGGTAAAACTCCCCAGAGGCAGCAAGAGTATGTAGAGGATGCCATTTCCCCTGAGAAGATGTTTGATTCCCCGGATTAGCATTATTAATCAATTGAGAAGAAAAAGATAAGAGGAAAGCACAATATAACCTTACAAAACAAACTCTGCTTAAAATGCCATTGAAATTGTGAATTGGACAAATAAAGTAGGTTGAATAGAGTTACAAGATTATAGACGCTGTAATTTGGTACATATCAGAAATTCAAAATGAGATCCGAAAATACTAACTATTTCAAGTTAGTATGGATAGAAATAAGGAATGTTAAACAGGATAATGAAAGCAACAATTTTACTATTTCTTCCTATAGCCCCAAAATACTTCAGGATGTTAGCTCAGAGTTACCTCAAAAGAATATAGATTTATTGGTTCTTCATTACATAAAGGCACCAAAATTTTTAAATCAGAGATATATGTGTTATCTAACTACTCTTCTATAGAATTTGGATTCTGGTGATGTATTGGGTGGCAGAAGTATATGCTTCTCCCCAGGTCTTAAAAAGACTCCTATTCGTCTTTACCACCTAATAAAATCAAAAGTTCACATGGAGCCGATAAGTAGTCAAGCAGCAGACAGAAAACAAAAGATCAAAATTAGATGTCAAGGTACTGACCGACGTGGAAACACCAAGATCAGGAACCCGCCTATTCATCAATGCCCTTTCTTCCTTTGAGAATAACCTGCGACTGCCTGCTGAACAAGAAATATCATAAATTGTTAAACTAACCAGCACACAGTGAAATGGATATACATACCAGAAACATTAAAAAATAGCCAGTAGACCATCTTTAATCTAGCATACAATTTTCTTCCCTTTCCTTCATCTCGGGCAGGGCAATATTTCTTACTTGGGAGTTGCATACTGATGTAATTTTAAAAAATGCATTTCAATTTTCACCTGGGCGTGCTAAACAAACAACAGTAGTTTTACTATGTGAGACTGTCACACTTACTTAAAACATCAGTATTCATGAACCATTAGGCAATTTCTTCTAAAATGTTTGCGTGTGTGTATGCAAATTGGACGAGTACCAAAATATATCAATTAAAATGACTTAAAACATTTATAGAACCTCTAAAAAGTCCACAAAATTCTAGCAGAAAGTCATGCATAACCATCGAAGTTTTAATCCCAACTCATTTCTCAATAACATCTGCGAAGTCTGGAATGCTGGAGATGTTAATGCATAAGCAAATATACACGTCTTAAAGTTTTATAGAATGTGGTTACTTAACATGGAACAGATTTGTGAAAAAAGATTTCTCATGTGCAAAGGCTTCTCTCTTTGCTTGCTATAAAGGAGGTGTGATTGATGACTTAAACTTTCAGATGAAGTTTAAGCACTCGATTAAAATCCATTACGAATCAAAGGCAAGCATGAAAGACCATTTAAGAACAAACACAGTCCTGGAGAAGTCTCATCAGATGCTATCATGGATTAAAAATTGGACCAAAAAAGGGCAACCATTAGCATAAGACCTAACAAATCAATGGCAGCAAACATACCTTGTGGTTTATCAGCTGTACCAGGGGCATAGCTGCCACTAGTGAAAAATGCGGAGATGTCGTCCAAACCTCCCCCGTACACAGCCAATCTCGGATTCCTGGGCGCCACTCTTTCTGCAACCACTTGTCTATCCCCATCCTCGTGCTTCTTACTCTCCTCCGCATAATCCAGCTTCGGATTGTCGAGAACCACGGGCTTCAGCTGTTTAAGCTTTTCGAGCTTAATGGCCTCATACTCGACGGGATTGATAGGCCTCAACGCTTGCCTTTTCTTCTCCACCCTCCTGCCGTACTCCAGCTGCCGCGACAGGATTCTCTTTTCCTTTTTCGTCATGTTCAGCTCCCTCTGAACATCCAGCCACTTCTCGGGAATCAAATTTTCCGGCGAGATAGCGGCATCTTTGCCCCTCTCCTTCGTTCGTCTGCTGACTCGGTGGCCGTCGTTACTAGACTCCCTTGGCGTTTGAAGAAATGGGTCGTCGAAAACACCTTCTTCGAAGACTAGGCAATCGCCAATTGCGGTATCCTCTTCATCCTCCTCCTCTGGGCGCGCTTGTGAAGCGGCGCCGTATAGACGCGGGAAAGAGGAACGACGATACTTGCGGGATCCGACGATGACAACTAGGGGCTGCGGAGGAAAATGAAGAAAGGTGGAGGTGGAGGTGGAGGTGGACGGAAGAGAGAAGATTGGCAGAGTTTGGGTTTTGCGGAGAATTGTCGAAGGTGAAAATGCAGCAGAGGTCATTTCTGAGCTCTAACCTTTTCTATTTCGATTTTGGAATTGGACATGTTTATACTTGACACCAAAATTCGATCCCTACGGGATCAGGATATTTCACAACCTTGCTGAATAACTAAAATTTATAAATTCTAATTAATTCATGTTTAGTTCACGGATTTGACCGTATTTAATGTTGTTACAAAATAAATAATAAAATTTAAAATGTTGGAAATTTTGAAAGAGGATCTAAAATCTTGAAGGACTTTTTTAATAATTGGATATTTGTCTTACTTCAAAATCTCATTCTAATTGAATTTTAATTTTTACTTTTATATACTCTTTTATCCAATAAAAAAAACTCTATTCATTTTTCATTTTAGCGTCGAATTCTTTTTTTTTTTTTTTTTCATTGTGCCTCTCACCGCTATTTCGCTTCTCCGGACAAAGAACTTCTGACTATATTTATAAATTCATTATCTTATCTCTATTTCTCTTTTTTGTTACATTTACATGACCTTTTTTTTTTTTTTTTTTCGCGGCCAGTAATACATTTCTTTTGTATTTTTTTCTCTATTTCAATCGACGCGTTTTTTTCTTGGATTTAATCGGTGCCACAACAAGTATGAATGTTGAATGTTAGAATCTATTCTTATTTCAATTTTGCAGGTTTGTTTTTTTTAAACTGTATTTTCTTCTTTTGCTTGATTGTCCATATTAAAAAATATATGTTTTCCTTGCAACTAACAATTGCTTCAATCTACAGACAATACTTTTTTGTAATTTTTTTGGTACATTTTTGTGGTATCTTATTATATATATTTTTATTTTTATTACAAGATATAACTCGACTAAATTTAAGCACACGCTAATGTAAAGAGAAAAGAATAAAAGATTACATGAAATCATGTTATGCAGTTTTCATAATTGTAGTATCCTTCATTTTATCGAGTTGGGTATTAATAGTTTGAAGGAAAAAAATATAAATTTAGAATTAGAAACCCTCCTCGAAAGATTGATCGGTATGCGACATTGCATAGGCTTGTTTATGAGAGCGATACACTAGCCAGAGATTAAAATGAACCGGAGGTGCTTTTCAAAATTATGTGGGATGCTAGAAGCATTGGAAAGGTTACGAGAAAGTAGGAATGTTAGTATTGATGAACTTGTTGCTATTTTTCTTCATATTATTGTGTTGGAAAGTATGGGTATTGCGAGAATAAACGTGAAATCGAGCGAGGATGGATCCTCTTTCCGAAAATTAGATACGCCTCGGTAGTGCCTCCGGTGGATGATGTTCTAACCCATAGATGAAACGGTTTCCGTCTCCAATGAGAGTGACACCTCTAATCGTTGGAGCTCCGACGAACAAAAATGAGAGAGGAACTGAGCTGGGGAGGCTGCCGGAAAGCTAGAAGAGAGGAGAGAAGGACGAGAGGATTGTTTGTTATTGGTGATTAGAATGAAGAGAGAGGCACTTTATATAGGCGTCTCCACTCCGCCAAAATGGCAGGGGATCAATTACGATCATAATTACGACCTTAATTATCGATGTAATTAATTATAAATTCAAACCTTCCGTTTCAAGCAGTCGTAATTGATTCTAATTACAAACCTTCCGTTTGTGACGATCGTAATTTATTCTAATTTCAAATCTTCCGTTTGAAACGATTGTAATTTATTCTAATTTCAAACCTTCCGTTTGAGATTATAATAAATTTATCCAACAGATAATATTTTATCCAAATAATATTGCGACTTAGGCCATATACCCGATTTTAATTTGGGGTTGCACAATTTGGTTTGTCTCGAGACAGGCAAAATAGCCAAAATATTAACCAAACCCCATACACAATAAATAAATAATATTTATTTATTTCTTCCAAATTAATTATATTAATTTGGTACACCGGTCCATCGCATTTTCACTCACAAAATAATCGATTGCAAAATAACCGATTATCCAACAATCCCCCACATGAGTGGAAATGCCCATAAAGGACAGAAACCCAGCTCAATCCCTGTGAGACATTGACACATCAGGACAGGTAGTTTTTGGCTTTGAACCTTCCATAGTCAACATTACAGAGTGTACTAGTGGCCCAGTTGACGTGATGCATTGAACTGTTCCGCCTCCGCGTGCACTTAGTCAATAATATTGACATGTCGCTGTCTCAATCTCAACTTTGTTCTCACGTTTTGATCCATTTCAGCCATGGATCTCGTCTTTGGATTCATAAGTGTTTCATTTGAAGCGGTCCACACTTCACACTTATATAGGTAATCCTATGTCAAGGTATCTAACTCACACCTTTAGGATCATTAAGAGTCATTGACTCAACCTCACCACTTTTGCACATTATAACACTCATTGCTTTTCAGGGAATTGTATTGAGTGTTCGTGCCGGACTCTTACAGTTTAGTTTTCCCATTGAACAAGGGCTTGGGATTTTCAAGTGATTTGGTTGGGTTATCACTGTAATTGTCTCTATCTTATAGATTTCAAACCCTTTCTGTTTAGCAGTTTGTACATTTGATCTCTCTGCAACCCTTTGGTTAGCGGATTCGCTAGGTTTTCTATTGACTTTACATATTCAATAGTCAAAACCCCACTGGTGATCAAATGTCTTACAGTGTTATGTCTACGTCGGATATATCGGTATTTACCGTTGTAAATTCCATCTTAGCCCTTGCTATTGCAACTTGGCTATCGCAGTGAATCATTACTGGAGGTACTGGTTTAGTCCAGTATGGAATATCGTCCATGAAGTTCCTCAGCCATTCGGCTTCTTCGCTAGCTTTGTCCAAGGTGATGAACTCTGATTCCATTGTGGACCATGCAATGCATGTCAGTTTTGTGGATTTCCACGAGACAGCTCCTCCTCCAATTGTAAATACATATCCACTTGTAGACAATGAGTCTTTTGCATCGGATATCCAATTGTCATCGCAGTACCCTTCGAGTTTGTCTGTAGCCTTTTACTACGAGACGGGCTTTGTATTTGTTAATAAACCCATCAGCCTTGAGTTTCTTTTTCAAAACCCATTTACACCCTAGTGGTTTGCAACCTTCGGGTAGGTCAGATAACACCCAAGTGTTATTTTGCATTATTGAGTCTATTTCACTATCCATTGCTTCCTACCAAAAGGAGCATCATGACTAGATAGTGGTTCCTTGATCGTTGTTGGATCATTGTCTAACATATATGTAACAAAATCCGGACCAAAGGTTTTCTCGACCCTTGTCCTTTTGCTACGCCTAAGCTTTGAAGTCTCTTGATCAGGGCTATTGGTCATTTGTCTATATACGCCCCGTAGTTCTTCATCTACGGATTTTGGGTTTGACTGCATCCGTTCCTTACAAGGGTAGATATTTTCAAAGAATGTGGTATTCCTTGATTCCATCGTAGTTTCCTCGGTCATCCCAGAGATTTTCGATTTGTGAACTATGAAATGATACGCACTACTGTTTAGTGCATATCCGATAAATATACAGTCTACCATTTTTGGGCCGATAGCGACTTGCTTTGGAGGCGGAACTTCCACTTTTGCTAGGCAACCCCCACACTTTGAAGTATTTGTATGTGGGTTTCTTGCATATCCATAGTTCGTAAGGGGTGGCATCCTTACCCTTAAGTGAAATCTTGTTCAGGATATAATTTGCAGTCAGTACCGCCTCCCCCCACAGGTTTTGGGGAAGTCCTGAACTTATCAACAAGGCATTCATCATTTCCTTAAGTGTTCGATTTTTGCGTTCTGCAACGCCGTTCGATTGAGGTGAATATGGAGCCGTTGTCTGATGAATTATGCCACTTTTGTTACATTATTCTTCAAACGGGGCCACATATTTGCCACCTCTATCACTTCGAGCTGTCTTGATTTTACAGTCAAGTTGATTTTCTGTCTCGGTTTTGAAGTTCTTGAAGGCCTCGATTTTTTTGCTTTTTTCCCTTAATAGGTAAATATAGGAATACTTTGTGCAGTCATCGATAAAGGTGATGAAATATTTCTTTCCACCTCTAGTTTGCACAAATTTTAAATCACATACATCAGTGTGAATTAACTCTAATGGCTTAGTCTTCCTTTCGACAGACGGGAAAGGTAATTTTGCCATTTTGGCCTCCACGCAAACTTCACATTTGTTTTGAGTGTTCACCTCTTTTATATTTAGTAAGTTCATATTTACTAATCATTTTATAGCATTTAGGTTTACATGACCTAGTCTGCAATGCCATAAATCAGAACACTCAATCAAGTACGAAGAAGAAACAACATTTTTATTATCAGTAGGTGGTGCTCGGCGCACGGCCATTACATTCAATTTGAACAACTCATTTGTAAGATAACCCCTAGTTAGGAACATCTGGTTTTTCGAAAATATAAATTTATCTGCTACAAAGACAAGTTTAAAACCATGCCTAACTAGTAGCGATCCTGAGACGAGATTTTTCCGAATGTCTGGCACATGCAGGACATCTTTCAGGGTTAGTTCTTTACCAGAGGTCATCTTTAGCACCACATTCCTTACGCCTTGGACCTCAGAAGTTGCATGATTTCCCATGTGCAGCTTCCTCCCTTCGGTCTCCTTGTAGGTCGAGAAGTTGGTTTTGTTGGAGCAAACATGGCAGGTTGCTCCGGTGTCAATATACCAAGCTCTCGGACTATCCACATTATTTGTTTCGTACACAACAACGACAAGGTCGTCACTATTGAGATCACGATCAGTCCGGTGGCTCGTCTCGACCAGTTGGGAACTCGACTTCTTCTTTTTCAGTGTCTTGCAGTCCTTAACCTGGTGTCCTCTTTTACCACAGTTAAAACAATTACCTATAAATTTGGACTGTTTGGCTTTGCCCTTGTCCGTTTGAGTTGGGCGTGCACGTTTTTTGGCGGGATCTCCGACCAAGTTGACTTTAGCAATATCTCCACTTTTAGTCTTGTGCTGCTTTCTGTTGTCTTCCTCTATCCAGATTCGGACAATCAGATCTTCAAGCCCCACTTGCTTTAGCTCATACTTCAGCCCGTGCTTGAAGTTGCTCCAACTCCGGGGTAATTTCTCGATCA